GCCTGCTGCAGACCCCCAGGTCTCCACGCCGCCTGCTGCAGAGTCCCAGGTCTCCACGCCGCCTGCTGCAGACCCACAGGACCCCACGTCGCCCGCTGCAGCCCCACAGGACCCCACATCACCTGCTGCAGAGCCACAGGACCCCACGTCGCCCACTGCAGCCCCACTGGACCCCACGTCCCCCGCTGCAGAGCCCCAGGCCTCCACGTTGCCCGCTACAGACCCCCAGGCCTCCACACCATCTGCTGCAGCCCACAGGACCCCATGTCATCCGCTGCAGAGCCCCAGGCCTCCACGTCGCCCGCTGCAGAGCCCCAGGCCTCCACGTCGCCCGCTACAGACCCCCAGGCCTCCACACTGTCTGCTGCAGCCCCACAGGACCCCACGTCGCCCGCTGCAGAACCCCAGGCCTCCACACCATCTGGTGCAGACCCACTGGACCCCACGTCGCCCGCTGTAGACCCACATGACCCTACGTCGCCCAATGCAGAGCCACAGGTCTCCACCACATCTGCTGCAGCCCCACAGGACTCCACGTCGCCCGCTGCAGCCCCACAGGCCTCCACCACGTCTGCTGCAGCCCCACAGGACTCCACGTTGCCCGTTGCAGCCCCACAGGCCTCCACGTCACCCGCTCCACAGCCCCAGGCCTCCACGTCGCCCGCTCCAGCTCCACAGGCCCCATTGCAAGATATTGGAGGGTCGCCCGGCCTTTTGACATGGACATTACAAGTTGCTGGACAACCTCATGGCCGCCCACCGGAGCCCTGTAACAGCTCTGGATGGCCATTCTGGCTACCAACCTATTTCATACCCTCCTCCAAGACCCCCTCCACTCACCCAGTTCTTTTCTTGCCCGCCTCCGGACCCCCTCCACCCACCTGACTCTTGCTAGTTCTTTGCTGGTAGGTCTGTCAGGATGCTGGACCTTAAAGTGGGGGCTATGTCATGATCAGCGGCCCCCGCTGGCCCCCCATCTGCTCACTTCCCTGCCCTTTCATGACATGCCATGTTTTCTGCCCTTCTGATCATAGTTTCTGTTCATGTTTATTATTCTCATCTCCTGTCAACCTGCACCTCTGCCTGCTCACTTAACCACACCCACTCTGCTGAGTCACTGCAATCAACCTTCATACCTCTCACCTGTTCATGTCTGTATTTAAGCACCATTCTCCCTCTCCACCAGTGCGAGATTATTACACCTTCCATGGTCCCTGATTTTCAAGCCTTCACAGTTTCATGCCTAGACCTCAAGCCTTGCGTTCTGGATTATTGACCTCACGCCTGCCTTCTGGATTTCCCGTTTTTTGCCTGCTCCTCATCTGGTTCTGTTCTGCCTCTCTGATCACGTTCATGACCCCTGCTCTGACAACCGGACCCCATTATTGGATTTGCCCCTCAAACCACAGTATTTCAGCTGCACTGCACAGGACCAGTGACGTCATTGCTGCAGTCTTGACAGCCTATAATAAATTTCTGTACTTGTTTTTGCACTCCTGTGTCTGGCTATTTTGAATCCAAAACCCTGGGTTGTGACAGGGGGCAGGTGTGGGTGCTTCACCTACCCCACCCACATTTTTGATGTTGTCGGTACCGGGGCTTGAACTGGCAATTTTCCGATCACAGGCCCACCTTCTCTAACCTCTGTGCCACCACTCCCCCACCAAATTTGGCAACCAAATGTTGCCACCATTTGCAAAGGAAACAAAAAGTACTGCATCACTGACTCTTCCTGATGAAGATTGTGCACAGCTTCAGTCAGAAGAAGATGATGATGAATTAATACCTTGTCACTGGTACTAGCTTCTTCCCACTGCATAGGGTAGCGGCTTACCGGTGATCACTGTCATTAATCTCCCAAGACCTTCCACAGAGGCTCCTGTTCCCGAAGCAAGATTTCCTGAACCGTCTCCCTCATCACCAGCTGTATTACCTATCTCATCTGAACAGTCAGAAGAACGAGAGGAAGTTGAGCTTCAACCTGAAAGTCAGTGTGGAGAAAACAAACTTAAAATGGTGAACCTGAAGGAAAGCTCCCCAGAAGTTGAAAACAGTCCATACTCGTCCAACAATTTTCAGTCAGGTCATCTAGACAATTTCTTTTTTTGCTGAAACGTTTCACCTTCCATCTGGAAGGCTTCATCAGTCAAGGAAACACACAACACAAAACGGCTTCTTCTCCCAAACAGCTTACTCCAAAGTGGAACAAACCAGTTATGTTGGTGATAAGATGGTGTCTTTGGCACGCCCCATCTTCTGATGCCGGCCCTCTTCCTCGTTGACAGTCATGTCAAACTGGTTCAAAACCAAAAAAATCCATGCTCAGTAATCCAGGTATACAATCCCAACAATTTTCAGTCAGGTCATCTGGACAATTTCTTTTTTCGCTGAAACGTTTCAGCAAAATGATTGGTTTTCATTGGTTAAATCATGTTTCTTCCAACTGAGGCGGCTGTCTAAACTCAAGCCCATATTGTCCAAAAAGAACCTGGAGACAGTAATACATGCATTCATTACATCTAGGCTTGATTACTGCAATTTGCTCCTGTTTGGTATCAGTTAGACCTCCATTGCACGACTACAACTGGTCCAGAATGCAGCAGCCCCATTTTTAACCAGTAAGGGCAAAAGAGAGCACATTACTCCAGTTTTGGCCTCACTGCACTGGCTACCGGTTCACCTTCGAATCCAGTTCAAAATACTCCTGTATGTCTACAAATCCTGAACAGTTTCACCACCCCCATCTCTCTGAGTTGCTACAACCGTATGTCCCACCACGTTCCCTGAGGTCAGCGGCCCAGCTGCTCCTCACAGTTCCAGGAACTCGTCTTAAGCGCAGAGGTGACAGGGCCTTCTCTGTAGCAGGACAAAGACTTTGGAATGAGTTACCTCTGCTTGTCAGACAGGCCCCCTCCCTCTCGGTTTTCAAATCCCGTTTAAAAACTCACTACTATTCAGTAGCTTTCAACACCAGATGATCTGTGTTTTGAACCTGTACGCTCCACACTGGTTTGTCGTCATTATCTGCATCGTTTTTATGTCTATATTCTGATTTACTTCATTTTGTATATTGCTTCATGTGTTGTCTGTTGTTTTGTTTGTACAGCACTTTTGCTGGCCTTGTCGCTGTTTTAAGTGCTCTATAAATAAAATGGTATAATCATACCCTTGACTCAGCGGTAAGCTTTGTATATTTTTCGTTTATAGCAGTATTTGATTTAGCTTAGCTGTTTAAAATATTTTGTTGAGGTGCTGCTACCGCGACCGCGGAACTTCATTAGAAAAACGAGCTGGTAGGATCTTTTTCTTTTCTTTTGAGCTTTTCCAGATTGGAAATATAGTCCTGGGAGAACTTTAGAAAAGAAAGAGAATCACAAGGAACTGTGTACACGGCTTGCCGTTTGTCTCTGCATATGATTTGTTTGTTTGTGCTGATTTTTACCACTAATGCCAACTCCTTAATGGAGTATGATCTCCAAACTTTGGTGTGGTCCCTGGAAAATTTAAACATGCAGCTGTCCAGCCTCTCTTAAGAAACCCACTCTGGACCCTCTGTTCTTGCTAACTACAGGCCAATCTCCAAACTGCCATTTCTTTCAAAAATTCTCGAGAAGGTGGTGTACAACTATCAGCATAATTGAAAGAACAGAACATTCTCGAGGTTTTACAGTCTGGTTTTAAAACTCTACAAAAAACAGAATCTGCTCTTTTAAAGGTTTTCAACAACATATTTTTAGCAACGGACTCTGGTGACTGTGTTGTCCTCCTGCTCTTAGACTTATCAGCTGCTTTTGACACCGTGGACCATAACATCTTGTTTAGTCATTTGAAGCAATGGGGGCGGGGGGACATCAAAGCCTGGATGGCTGTGAACTTAGTTAAGAGCATCGTTAAATTTGAAAAGAACAAATACTTCTCCCAAATCATTGCGTCAAACAGTCATAATTCCCGTGTTCTTTTTCATACCGTAAATTCCATTTTAAACGTGCCTCGGTTCCAGCATGGAGGCCTCTGTTGACATCTGCAATGACTTTACCAGATACTTTGCTGATAAAGTAGAGTTGAGTAGGTCATCCATCCCCCAGTCCACATCTGACCCCTCTGTCTTTGTCCCTTGCTCAGCTGTCTTCAGACAGTTTGAACCCATTTCACTCCCATTTCTAAACAAAGTCATTGGTCAGATGAAACCCTCCGGTTCCCCTGCTGACCCCATTCCTGCATCGTTTTTCAAACAAATTCTACCCACGATTGGACCCTCTGTTCTTACTATTGTAAATAGTAGTATTGTGACAAGTTTGGTTCCCGATGTTTTCAAACATGCAGTAGTTCATCCGTTAATTAAGAAACTTGAACTTGACCTTTTGACTTGCTCAAATTTCAGACCAATCTCGAAACTTCCCTTCCTGTCCAAAATCCTGGAGAAAATAGTTTTCATTCAATTAAACAAGTTTTTGAATGAGAACAGAATCTTCGAGATTTTTCAATCTGGTTTTAAGCAACTCCACAGCACTGAAACAGCTTTAGTGAGGGTTTGTAATGATATTATGATATCAAATGATTCTGGTCAATTTGTGGTACTTGTGCTCCTGGACCTTACTGCTGCTTTTGATACTGTTGACCACAGTATCCTTATCACGGCTGAAACAGTGGGTTGGGATCACAGGTGCTGCATTAGAATGGTTCCGCTCATACCTGAGTGGCAGGAGTTTCTGTGTCAAGGTTGGTAATAATGTATCCGCCTCATTACCTCTTTCTTGCGGGGTCTCACAGGGTTTGATTCTTGGACCCCTTCTGTTCTCACTTTATTTGCTCCCACTGGAGTCCATCCTGAGGAAACATGGTCTTTCATTCCATTGTTATGCTGATGACTGTCAGATCTACCTGCCTGTGAAACCAGCAAGTGTTTGCTCCATTCACCCTCTGTTAAAATGTCTGGACGACATTAAGGCCTGGATGGCTTCAAATTTCTTGTTTTAACGATGAGAAGACTGAAGTCATTGTCTTTAGCCCTAGCTCAACTGCCGCAACTGATCCTGTCAACCTGGACTCTCTTCAGCCATTTCTTAAGCAGTCTGGTAAAAATCTTAGGATGGTTTTAGACTCTGACTTCAAGTTTGACAAAAACTCTGTTCTGCAGAAAAGCTTCTTCCAAATCAGACAGGTAGCTAAGCTCAAGCCAGTATTGTCCAGACCCGACCTTGAGAAACTAGTCCATGCCTTTGTCACGACCCAATTGGACTATTGCAATGCACTCGATCCCTCAGGTCATGTGATCAGCTGCTGCTGAGTGTGCCAAAGACAAAGCGTAAGTTCAGAGGAGACCGTGCTTTTGCTATGGCAGCTCCTAAACTGTGGAACGACCTTCCCTTGAACATCAGACAGGCCTCTTCTCTGTCTGTTTTTAAATTCTTTCTTAAAACCCATCTCTTCTCCGTGGCCTTTGACACAATCTGAGATTTTGACTTTTAATCATTTTAATCATATTTATTATATGACTGTATGATTGTTTAGTTGTGTGTACAGCACTTTGGGCCTGTAGGTGTTTAAAGTGCTCTATAAATAAAGCTGGTATGGTATGGTATGGTATGGTAAGGAACTGTGGAAATAAATATACCATATTTTCCACCCTATAAGTCACAGTATTTTGCATAATTTACATGCCCTGCAACTTATAGGCTGAAGCGACATATTTATGGATTTTTTCCCCATAT